GCTGAGCTCATGCGCGGGCTGATTATCGGAGACTTACGAGGTAGTTGTCGGCGTCCGCAGTCCTTGTTTCTACTTTCTTATTATCTTTTCTCTCTTGTATTGGCATTTGGCACAAACTGTAGTCAGTGTCGTGAAGAGTGAAAAGCGAGAAAAAGCGACAAGCCTCTTTTCGCTTAAAGCGAGAAGCGAGAAGCGAAGCGCTCGCTTTTTTGAAGTGAACCGGAATTTTTAAAAAAAAAAACAATACTGCATAGACAACACATGTAACTGTAAGCAAATGTTCAATACTTAAATGTAAAAACTAAAGAGTAGCATCAATTAAAGCACAAAATGAGCATCATATTCTTCTACAAGATTAAATGAAATGAAAAAAATGGCAGTACGTATACGAAAAAAATGGCAGTAGCTGAAACGAAAAAAATTGGGCAGCATTTCGCTGCAATTTATCACTGAAACAGTGAAAGAAAAAGAAGAAGTAGATGAAGAAGAGAATGAGAAAAAGAACTGAAGGGAAAAAATAATTTGCCAGCATTTCGCTGCTATTTTGGGACTGAAACAGTGAAAGAAAAAGAAAAAGGAGGAAGAAATCACATACCTGGGCTTGAACTTGATAAACTTTTAAATTTTTTAACGTTGGCAACCCTTAATATGTAGAAGCGCTCGCTTCTGTCGCTTTTACGCTTCTCGCTTTTTTTGCAGAAGCGCTCGCTTTATTCAACCTGCTACGCTTCACATCACAGAAGGGCCCGAGGTCTCGCTTCGCGCTTTAAGCACTGAAGCGAGCGCTTTTCACAACACTGACTGTAGTAGACTCTGTTTCTAGATTCATGACTTAGAGACACCCCGATGCCGGGCTATTTTTTCGCACTTATGTTTCATTTGGGTTTTACCCCATATTTATGAGAAACTCCGGTTGTTTTAAATGTCTTAATTCATTTCTGTTAAATTTTGAAGGTGTTTTGGAAAGGTCGGCTTGCCTAGTATCGCGATAGGAGCCATCACGACGGGTTAGGTTTTGGGTTGTGACATGAACCCTGCTAGACAATCTCCGGGTTACTGAGGTTGCGCTTGAAATGCAAAAAATTATGACTAATTCCACCTCAATGGCTTTTTCCTTTTTATTTTTTTATGATGGTGGTGTTCCGGCAAGCTTACTCACACCCCGACTATTTCACTGGGTACGTGCTACCTTCTACGAGCAAAAGTACCGGGTAACTCTGCCTACCAAGGGTTAGACATATGGAACGAAATCACCTACTGTTTTTTTTCTTTACTTCACTGGGATTTGAACCTGAGACCTCATGGTCTGCCCACTTTATTGATCACTGGGCCACACCCTTAGGGAGCAGTTACACATTAGAATTAGTAAGGACTAATCTGAGAATCAGGAACAGACTAGATAAGCTAAATAGAAATAGGCAGCAGAAGAAAGGATGCATGAAAAGTCCATAAGGTGATTTATCCCTACCCTTTCACCACTTTCTCCGCTAACTGATTCAATAATTTAGTTAGATCCAGACAACATAATCACGAACTTACTAGGAGTGTCACCAAGAAGAGCAGTAAATGGCTGCCATAGGCCACGTGAATTTTCAGTTTTAGTTTGAATAGTTCTCAGCTTTGAAGCAGCAACCATCTTCATAGCCTTTGTAATCTTCTGTATATTTTTAACACTCTTCATCCGGTTTCTGACTGCACAAGGGAATGCTCAATGTACTTAATGTAGCCAACAAGAAAGTTGGTAGAGAAGTTAACGAGAACATAGGAGAGAAAAAGGAAATTAGGGCGCATCAAAGGATTACGGCTAAATCTTACCAACTTGAGTTGAAATACATCGAACTCCTGACGAGACTGGTTCCCTGCATATAAATATATGTCATAAAAGTGAATTGCTATGAAACAGAACAGGATAATTCGTTTTTTTTTCCTGAAACATAACAGAATAATTTTGATTGAAAGAAAAAATGTGGATAATAATACTTATATCATTTTAAGCTAAGGTGCTGACTGCTGAGCATGAGACTGCTATAGAAGCAGAAAGGGAGATCATCACTCTCTTGTTGATATAAAAAGGCACACTTAAACATACTACATGTCAGTGCAGCAACCTCACATAATCCATCGGAAAAAAAAGTTACAATTACTAGATATTATTTGAACTTCATCGATTTCTCCAATTGTCATTTTTATTTTTGAGAATGAGAACTTATTCAGTTTCTACAATTGTTTTCTTTGCAACTTCCGTTCCAAAAATCTCTTAACATTCTGTACCTTTTTCAAGTTCCAAAATCAACTATCCAATCTCAGACCATGTCAATTACAACTCTCTATAAAGTCAAAGTTAAAGGTAACATCCTTCCTTCTGACCAAATAACTACTATATTCTTAAATCTAAAAAAAAGGGATATCCAATTACGATACGTAAATGATCATTTCACCAACAAATCTAAATCCAGTGAAATTCATACAAGCTTCGCCAGCATAAACATTAATTTTTAGGAATTTGTTAATAAAAATGCTCTAGTGTACAATAACAGATATGCATAAGAAAATAAAAAAGTGAGCCATTACCGTCTACAGATATTTATATATACAAAAAGAAAAATGATTATAAAAAAAGTAGTGAAGGAAGAAAACTAACTGGGAAGGAATGAGGGAAGAACGAAGAGCATTGGTCGGGTTGGGAGAAATGAGAGGTGTGGCGAAACGCCTTCCCTCACGCCTCAATGCAGCCATCGCCATTTTTTAATTCGATTCGATCTGATCGGAATCTTCCTCCTCTCCTGCTTATCCTCACGGGGATCGACAATTTACGCTCTAGGGTTTACAGTCTTCGCTTAAAATGTCAGCTGAGCTACAGTTATGGGTCCGAGTCCGCTGGGTGAGTGCACATTTTCCATAAAACTAATGTTTTAAGGCTGCTTCGATACGGCGTCGTAACGCTTACGGTTGTATGGCCTAACGGGTCAAAGCCCGATTCAGCTTGATCACCTACTCCTTTTGGTTCCTAAGGCGATATTTGAGTTATCGCCAAAATTATCGTGTAATTTATAATTTAAAACATGATATTTGAGTTATCGCCAACATCAATTTAATTCGAAAATCTATAGACAATTCTTATGTATGATCCCGTCCAATCACTGTTTCGTCCATAATTTGAAACATTTCCAAATAGAATCTAAATTATGTCATCGAATTCTCCAATTATGCAACACCTTTATGATCCCGTCCAATCACTGTTTCGTCCATAATTTGAAACATTTCCAAATAGAATCTAAATTATGTCATCGAATTCTCCAATTATGCAACACCTTTATGATCCCGTCCAATCACTGTTTCGTCCATAATTTGAAACATTTCCAAATAGAATCTAAATTATGTCATCGAATTCTCCAATTATGCAACACCTTTATGATCCCGTCCAATCACTGTTTCGTCCATAATTTGAAACATTTCCAAATAGAATCTAAATTATGTCATCGAATTCTCCAATTATGCAACACCTTTATGATCCCGTCCAATCACTGTTTCGTTCATAATTTGAAACATTTCCAAATAGAATCTAAATTATGTCATCGAATTCTCCAATTATGCAACACCTTTATTCAACTCTAGTTAGTGAGTGAACACCATCAATCAATAGGGATAATACCATTTCGTATACATTTTTTACTATTCCACGATCATCCCCGTGAGAAATTAGAACTAACGTTGGAGACCTTTGCTAATGTTGTTAAAGCAATTCACACAAGTAAACATAGCTAAGTTGATGTTGAAAGTGCCTTCATCGATACAATTAGCACATTGTTATAAAAAATATATATTATCCAACTACAATATATATATATATATTTATAAGAAGAAGATAAAAATAATAAAAATTAAATGGTCATAAGTTTACTTAATGTCATCAAAATTTCTATCACTCAACTATGCCTAAATTCAATGATCTGTAAAAGTTAAAATGCTTTAAGTTTTCTAACACAACAATATAGAAAATAAATGAATATTTGAACTGCAAGTGTAATGTGCAATTTTAATTACATTAGAGTTGAAGATGACGGAAATTAATTATTTGACGAAACTATCATATCAAATATCGTCCCTTAAACAGATTAGGATTAATACTCTTATTTATGAACAAACAAAAATTTGTAAGTACTTAAATAACGCCAATTCAGTTAACCTTCTCTATAATAACTTTATTTGTTCCAATATTTTTTTGCTTTTATAGTGAATGATTGTTATATACCCATAACAACATTTGACATTTAAATAATTTTTGACGGTTGTAGATAAAAATTATCCAAAAATCAACTATTTTTCCTTTTTACCGTTATATTAAAAGATAAGAAAATTATTCAAATTTAAAATCTCAAAAGATATGCATATTTCACAAGTTAAATATTGAAGAAAGCTAATGCATTATTAATAAATTCATAACAAAATATACAAAGATTTAAACTCTAAGGCAGATATTTTAAAGTTACCTAAAAAATAAATTCCTTCAAGATTGATGGGAGAACTTTACAATTGTATCTTGTTTCGTAGATTTCATTCTCTTAATAGCGATGTAACACTTGAATTAGTGAAAATTCGTATCCAAATTTTCAACAAAAAGGTATCCAATAACTTTACTTTGAAATCAATCTAAATGTTTAACCGTTAAAATTTTCATCTAAATATTTTTTAGAATTTGTCTGATAGAAAATATATCACGTGCAATCTTTAAATCTTATATCTTATGCAAGATAAAACTTTATTTAATAAAAAAATTATGTGCATATTTTTAGAATAATTATTATTAATCTTAAAAATTCTATAGGAATGTTATAGATAGTAATTTTATAAAGAACGTTCTATTACAAATATGACTGTTGCTATTATAGGTAAAAAAAAATATTGTAGAGATAAAATATAACTTAAAAAATACTACTGTAAATTATAGAAAAAAAACTTTACAAACATTTTGTTATAGAAATGTGCGAGTGTAGTTGGAGTCCAAACAACCCGCAGAGCATCCAACCTCCCTTTCCCCCTATTGACAAAACCCTAATAAAAGCACCGTTCAGGCGCTCAGCAAACGGGAAGAAAGAAAGAAAAAGAAAACCATTCTTTCCCGTCGATAATGGCGTCGTCGGAGAAAAGATGCCTCTACGAGGTCCTAGGCGTGAACCGTGACTGCACCCCCGACGAGATCCGGTCCGCCTACAGGCGGCTCGCTCTGCAACGCCACCCTGACAAGCTAGTCAAATCCGGCGTACCGGAATCCGAAGCCACAGCTGCGTTTCAGGAGCTCGTCAACGCCTACGAAGTCCTGTCCGACGCGCGGGAGCGCGCTTGGTACGACTCGCACCGCTCTCAGATACTCTTCTCGTCCAATTCCGCTCCAACCAATTCGTCTAATTCTGGTTCTGTCCCCGACTTATTCTCCTTCTTTTCCAATTCAGTTTATTCTGGTTACTCCGATAAAGGCAAGGGCTTTTACAAAGTCTATGGTGATCTCTTCGAGAAAATCTACCAAAACGATTTGAATTTCGCGAGGACGTTAGGTATAGGTTTTCCCAAAGAAGCTCCTCTCATGGGAAATTTGGACAGTCCTTATGCTCAGGCATGTAATTCAACACCTTCTTTTTGTACAATATTTATTTCTCGAGCATGTATAGAAATTTTGGATATTCATATAGGAGAACTTCGTTATATTCATTTCCCAATGCATGTTTTTTGCTACTATCTGATCACATTCTGTCGGTTTTTGCTGCAGTTTTAGTTTCAATGGCAAAATCTTCTTTTTTATTTTTCCTACCGATTAGGAATACAATTTCTACAGAGTGGAAAATATAACTTTTTTCCCATCCGTCTAAGACTTGGTGGGCAGAATGAGCCGGTAACTATGTACCAAGTACCTGATTAAATAGTTGAATAGTCAGAGAGCTGGCCTAGACACCACCTATCATAAAAAAAAATCAACTTTCTTGTCCCATTAATAATCCAAAGAAGTAGCTTGAATTGAAATTTGATTCCCTTATTAATCTTTTTATGGGCATCCTGTTGTAAAATGCAGTATGTATTACTGTATTAGTAACTATTGAGTTTCGTTGTGATGCAGGTGACAGCATTCTATAACTATTGGTTAGGATTTGTTACTGTGATGGATTTTTGTTGGGTAGATCAGTATGACGTGATGGCGGGACCCAATAGAAAGTCAAGGAGGGTGATGGAGGAGGAGAACAAGAAGCTGAGGAAAAAGGCACGAAGGGAATACAATGAGACTGTTAGAGGATTGGCAGAGTTTGTGAAAAAGAGAGATAAGAGGGTGATTGACATGCAGATGAAGAGGAATGAGGAGATGGAGAGGAAGAGGGAAAAGGAACGGGAGAGAAAGGAGGAGTTAGAGAGAGAGAAGGTTGAGAAAGCAAAGAAATACGTGGAGCCTGATTGGGCAAAGGCGGAGGAGTTGGAAAATGAAGAAATCGAGGAGGAATGGGATGAGGATGGAAAAAAGAAGGCAGATGAGAATGAATTGTACTGTGTGGTGTGTTCGAAGAAGTTTAAGAGCGAGAAACAGTGGAAAAATCACGAGCAGTCCAAGAAGCATAAGGAGAAGGTGGCAGCTTTGAGAGAAGCTTTTGATGATGAAGATTGTGAATACGAAGGGTTGGTGGAGGATGGGGTAAGTGAGGAGCAAAAGGTAGCTGATGGTGATAGAACATCTGATTTATCTGCGGATGATGGGGTGGATGAGTTAGCAGAGCAATTTGAAGGTAGTACGCGAATTCAAGAAGATGAACGTGAGGATGATGAGGTTCAAAGCAGCAATGAAGATGAGACCACATCACAGGGATTAGATGATGGGTTAAATTATCGAAGTGGCAGTGATTCAAAGGTAGTAGCCGATGAACTTGGATTAGATGATGATGAAGCAAGTGTACTTGAAGCTATGGTATCTGGCCGCAAAAGTAGGAAGAATGCAGGTCCAGCTGGCAGTCGTCAAACCTCAGCAAAGAATGTAAAGGGTGAAACCAGTAACGAGGAAATGGACTTCATGGAATATAATAATCTTAGAAGTACTAGGAGAAATAGGGGTGGCCGGAGACAAAGAAACAGGAGACCACAAGAAGAAGAAGACGAAGAAGGTGAAGGAGGAGATGTTAGATCTTATGCGACTAAAGTTGCTGTAATTACTGAGTTAGATAGTGCTTATAATGAGAGCTCAGCTTTCCAGGAGCCGTCATCAGATTCTCCAGCAGAAACTGCTAATGATCACAAAGGAAGTGACCTTTCGCGAAATAGCGAAAAAGTTTCAAGCCAAGGTATGGACAAGAAAACTACCGCAAAGAAGGAGAAGAATACCAAATCAAAAGATGCAACCAAAGGAAGGAAACAGAAGGTACTCAAATGTTAATCTGTTCGAATGATAATTCTGTTTTGTTTGACGTCAATCTCTTTTTCCTATCCCCCCTCACCCACCCCCCTCTTTGACTATCTTGAGAATTTTCAACTTCTCTTCTACAGTTACCTACTCTTCGGGTTTCAAGTGAATCTTTAAAAGGACCAAAAACCTTCTTTTAGTTTTCTTATGATGTGACCAAGCTTTGACATTATGTATTGTAACACAGTTTCATATGAATTCAGGGAACATCGAAATTTTCTAGCAACTCGTGCGAGACATGTGGGGAGGAATTTGATACAAGGTTTGTGATGCTGCAGTCTCAGTCATGAATCTTTGTGTTGATCAATAAGGTTATATTTCCACTTGTTTCCCATATCTAATTATCTGCTTCTCCCATCATAGGAATCAATTACATAAGCATCTAGGAGCGACAGGGCATGCCAAACTAAAGTCTCGGTGATATTAGAGAATCTCGTTGTCTACAATTCAAGCTGATTGCTGGGAGTTTGGAGGCTCATTATTTGTTCGCTATTCTTATTCTTTGTGGTTTATATACGATTTAACATCATCATTTATACCATAGTCAATTCGAAATGAGCTAAAAATCAAAGCTTTTTGATAATAGATGACTACATGATGTTTGTTGCAAGATGAACACGGTTTCTTAATCTGTGCATCTAAACGTGGAAAACTGGTGTGACCAAATAATGAAGCACTCAAGTTTTACTGAAACCGAAGCTTATATAGCTAACACTTAGGTTGACTATGTTTTTTTTTCACGTTGATGAAAGAATGACACAAGTGACAAGGGATAACTAACTATAACTACACACAGTAACATGGTACAGGGCTTTTACCAAGGTGAAGCTTCTGGTATTGTCAAAAATGGGATAGTATAGGGCTTTTAACGAGGTGAAGCTTCTGGTATTGTTAAAAATGGGAAAAAAATAAACTTCGTCACTGAGTCATAAGAGAAACAAACTAGAATTACTACAAGAACCGAAACTTTAGTAACTCAACTGATTGACAGAAGTGAACTTTAGTAACTCAACTGAATGACAAGCGAAACTTTAGTAATTCAACTGATTGCTCAAAACGCTTGATTTGGACGACTGCATAAAATTGATAATTTAACTCGATCAGCTTTTAAAGTTGATTTAACTGCTGGCATTGTAGAAGTTTTTGAGAAGGGCTTTAGTTCAATCTCTATTGCCTAAACGATGGCCAATTTCAACCTTTAATGACTCGAGAACGAAAAGATATCAGTACAACTATTCCATAATAGAATACCAATCACGGCCGTGTTTACCACCTGCATTTGCAAAGTTTATAAACCACAAATATCGCCATCTGCTTCTGACTAGCAACATCAATGGACGTGACCAAATAATCATTCATAAGTTTGTACTTTACAACACTAAGCCAAAACACTGTAACGAGCAAGAAAGTAGAGGGTCGTAGAGAACAATTTACATAGGCAAAAAACTGTCAATCCTACACTCATTTATATACAGGCAAACATCTATGTCAGATGTTATAAGTTATATACACCTGGACTGAAAAAAATGATAGCAGTTGCTTCATCAAAAAATAATGGTACAATAACAGTTCCGGAGCATATGTTGTGAGGCATAGTCACATAATTATCTAGCAGCTAAAGAAACAAGAAGGAAAACGTAGTCACAACTCACAATGCTCTGCTAGCTGCTTCTTGTATGTAAGTGGTGGCTTCCTCTTCCGAGAGCTGCTTTCCTTCTACCAACCCTCTAATCAGATTATTGGCATATTCTTTAGATGGTTTGCACGTAAGTACGTTACCTGATTTGAAGTTATCAATATCTGAGAGTCGGCATCTGATAGAGAAGCAGAAAGGTGCTGGATGAGATTCAATTTCACAATATACATTTTTTTTTAAAAAGAGCATACAAAATAAAAGGCAGCATGCTTACGTCATTGTCAAAATAGGAAGACCATTCTCCTTCCCAAGGTAAAGAACATTATGGTACCAGCCATTCTACATGAGAGTCAAGCAACATCATACCATGAGAAAAACCATCTAGCTCAGAGTTATGTCAAGCAAAGACCAGATGTCTGGGGCAGGGGGTAGGAATAAGACTACTCGAAGAGCATCTTAACTAATTTCTCAAACTGAAAAAAGGTCTCCAGGATAGGAATTTTTCATGATAAGTTGACAACATAGGGTAGAGTTGAAAAGTTGACAATATTGGCATATTCTGTAGCAGCTGACAACATAGGCTAGAGTTGGAAAGACTACATTTTGATGAAAAATCAGCTTCAATATAATTAGGTAAGAGATAAATGAGTGCCCAAAAGATTAGTAAATATTCCTCACTGACTCACAGGTTACCCAAGTAGTTGACTCACAGGTTACCCATGTAGTTGTTCGCTCGGGAATTCTAGTGAGACGAAGAAACAGAATTGTATGCCAAAGCAAAATATAAGCTAATCCAATGAGGCCATATTTGATTGCTTAGATTTGGATGGAAGAAAAAATATTCTGTCCTGCTACTAAGCTTTGTTATGTTTGATGCATGAACGGATAACCATAGTGTAGCCCCAAGATTTTTACATTCTTTTTGACGCAATTCATCTTTTGCTATCAATCAATCAACTACCTCTCAATCCTAAATCAGCTGGGGGTGACAAAATGAGTCCTTTTTCTGCTCTATTGGTTCATTTCATTTCAATAGTAAATAATTTGTTCCGCAAATTCAGGTTTCACTAAATCTCACCCTTATCCCTACATGGTTAACTTGTTAGTACATGTGTAACAGATACCCAGGAGAGCACATCCTCACGAATTCATTACAATGACGCAAACCTACCAGGAGAGGATTCATCAATACTCTTAACTATTTTAGCTAGCCGTCAACCTACCACAATGTTCCTCCTTTATACTTCTTATCCTTCACTGTCAACATAAAATTTTCCATCCATCACACAGGAGTAGTAATTGTTCTATCCCAATACCTAACTGCATTAGCAAACACATCCTAGAAATGGTTATTACTGAACTAATTAGCAGAAAATATACAGTTATATTTATGCTACCATGTTTTTAAGCCAATCTGAATCTTACAGTTTTGAACCATTAGATGCTAACTATTTGAGCCATTAATATGGGGGTGTAGGAATAATAGACAATCTAATGCTTGAATATCTTAAAGGCCCAAGCTAGCACAAAAGATTGAACTTACTGTAGGTATTCCATGCGTTTGAACCAACTCTTTTGCGCTTCATTACAATTACACAGATTGCATCTAAAGAATAACTCATGAGAATAATACAGAGATAATAACACACCTTGACAGCCTCTGCTGAAACACATTTGCTGTTTTCAATAGATTGTAAGTCAGTCATGTCAAACAAAGGGGAGTTCATGTCAAAGTTCGAAACATTCTCTTGAAGTAAAACATCATTAAATTGCTCAAGCCTGTAATAAAGAAAAAAGAAATATTAAGTTATAGTTCTAAATCACCAAGAGCCGACAAAGGTCTTTTTATTAAAAAATGCCAACAAAATGGCGAACTCCTAATTATCACTAAAGGAGAAATCATTGCAGATAAAGGAAGGAATCACATACGTTATCCTATATAGGCACATATAAGCTTTTTCGTCACTGTTGCTTTCAGGGTGAAGAAAAGCAACCCCACCCGGACCCCATGTAGCTGTACGCTCGCGGGCAAAGAACAGACGATGGGGAAAAGTTTTCCATATGATCTCCTTTGGCTTGCGTTTATCCAACGAACCAATACATGGCTTTTGCATGCCTTCCACCTGGAAGTCATTTTGTTGTCATGAAATGCAAAAAAGAATGTCGTGTCGAGCTGAAAGCTCAATACTATTTAGGCTTTCTCCAGCATCACTCTCAGGTTAACATTAGACTAGTTTCTCATCTTAAGATGCCTGACTAACTGAGAATCATTATGGTTTTGTGAAATAATTACAACCGACTGTGCAAGCTGCAAACCATTTCAAATTGGTAATATACTTGGCAAACTTTCTACATTATTAATCCTAGTAAGAAATGTTTTTGTATCATCAGTTCTAAATGCACTAGGTAGCTGTTTTTTTTTGTAGAAACATATTTGATAATTTATTCAGAAATTTCTCAAACATTAGAAGAACTTTTGCATTTTTGCTTGCTACTGTAGAATACATGTATTCGGATTTTGCATGAGGTAAGTTTAAAGATCATTCTGAAATTTGGGGAAGGAAGATGAGGTGGAAGTTCAGAAGAAACCAAAAATAAGCTGTTTATTGTGTGTCACGGCTTACTACTCCATGATGCAGAAGATTTATAAAGAAGATAAGCAGTTCAGAGAATGCATGATAGCTATACCTGTCCTCCTGCAATATAGCAAAGGAACCTTGATTGATACATATTTGACCCAAATGTGGCATACCATATATCAATCTTCGAAAGCTCTGCCCTCCAAGTGTGAGAAATTGTGCATGCTTGACCTATGTAAACGCAAAGATCATGAAAAGTCATCTTCATAAATAAAAGAACAACTTCTCGCGAGGTAAACATAATATTAAACTTGTTACGACTGTACCATCATTAACTTTCAGGTCTGAAAATGGTTGTATGATATTCTCAATATCCTTCTCGAGTTCTTGTGATACCGTATGAGGAGTGGTATCGTACTCATCTTCAGAATCAGAGCTAACGACCTGAAATAAAGTAAGAAAATTTACTAAAGTTGATGCAGAAACAAGTTTACTGCATCAATGAGAAGAATCTGAAATGATATTAAAGGTACAAGGAGCAACAAAAGCATAAGTTTTCCGGAGGATTTCATGGTGATACATTGTGATTTTTTTGTGTGGATGAAAAGCTCATTTATTTCGGGAAGCATAATAAAGCTTGATAATCCATCCAAAATGTCAATATCTAACTGTCACTCGCACACAAGGCATCCATTGGTTAGTATGTGTGACCTCGTACCTTTAAGTCTGCAGAATTCCTTGCCAGCACTAACTCTAGTAACTGAACTACTTATCGGTTAGTTCACACCAAGCAATGAACTTAGGAATCATGGTACCAAAATGATCCCCTGGACTTGCCATCCACGGACATGGCAACCAAAAGTAGAACTTGGCAAAGAGGGTCTTTTACTACTATGATTGCCAAAATGACATTATGTTATCACAACAAAGGAGTTCAATAATTCCAACTGATATCAGCAATTCAAGTTCCATTAATGGAGGGCTCTGCTCAAGGCACACCTATCATGATTTCATTCTAATTGATAGTTTTCATCTCACACTGTCGGTAATAGAACATTTATGAGACCAGGTGCCTCCTATGAACCTTGAGGCTACAGTATGTGGAGGTTTAAGCAAAGTCTACATCCCATGGCAGACAATTTCTAACGTGCTAAAATATTCTAAACTCAACAGCAGATTACTCAATGCATCACAATATTTTCTCCATCTCTTCTATCTCTTGTTTTTCATTTTAACTATTTTTGATTTTTTTAAAGTTGTTCTTATTTTTATAATGATAACAAATAAAGCAAAAAAGCACATACTTCATGCCTAAATATATGCCTGCTGTCATTGTGTCTTCCACCTTCTAAACACAGGCTCCAACAACTTGTGTAGGAGAAATTGTTCAAGAGAAGGCTATTGATGATACTAA